TTATCCCAAAATAGCAATAATGGACAGTAATTATGCGCAAACTAAAAGCAAAGTCAATGTAATATTTCAGTATACATTTAACCAGTTATTTATATTTCTAATTAAATTGTCTTTATATAAAGGAAATATGCGACTATTATCTCGAATGGAGTGCAAATACAGTCAATTCTGGATATAATGTGGATAATATGTTTTCATTAAAGTTGGCAACACTGGGGTCGGGCTATAGGGCTGATTATTGGCAACAACTGGTTACTGTATTATGGCGATCATATATTGTTTTCACGCGGAATCCCAGTTTGCTACAAACTCGATTAATCCAAATGCTCGTATGTCATTGATAATTATTTATAATATAAAACTTAGCTCACATATGCCAATGTATTTTCCTACAGTCCATGGCAGTATTATTTGGGATACTCTACTACCGACAGGGATATGACTACTCCAACGTCGATAATATCAAAGGGGCTCTTAATATGATAATAATGAGATGTTCAATGACACAGTCAATGTTCGCACTCACTGTAAGCACCGTTATTTCATTTTTAAAATAATTGCTTACTATGTCTCAATGACACTTACATTACATTTTTGACAATTTGCATTTTTGCTTTTAAATTGGAAAATATTGTCTTGTATCTGCACAATATTACATTGTTAATCTCAACATAGATATTTTAAAAATTATAAAAGTATCATATTGAAATAAATATAATTTAATATTATAGACATTGATAGGAGAAGAAGCCTTACTTTGTAGGGAACACCACAACCGTACGTACGCTCTGTTCCCATATATGTTGGCGACCTTAATTACCCAGGTAATGTTTAAGTATAATATTTATTTATTATGATTAATATAATTTATTATAAATACTGTGTTATATAATTAATTCTACAAATGTCAACACAAGCTTATTAACAAATTATGAATTTAAATTGTGCATACTGTATAACTTATTTACTTGAACAGTTGGCTATAGGTTCAATACTGACTTTTATTTTTGTAACGATTTTGTATTTCATCGTTGGTTTATATTTGAGTGCACAAGCATTTTTCATTTACCTTGGTGTTATTATCCTGTCCACTATTTGTGCCTGGAATTTCGGTAATAAATCATTATTATTATCAATGTCTGTATATTTTAGAAAATCAAATTCTACTTGAACATTAAAGTTGGTAAATGGGTTATGAATTGTATAGACTTTTTATTAATATATAAATTAATAGTTTGTAAATAGTTTTTATATTTCTAATTTTAAAATATTTTATAATTTTAAGAAATCCTAAAGTTAAACGCCTTACTTGATTAAAATTGCTTAAATAATAATTATTAATTATTTATTGCAATTAAAATAAATATAGGATTTTTAATCTCTACACTAAGCCAGGACTTTATGA